ATTTGGGTCTGCAATAGAAGGAAAACAGCGTATAAATAGTCTCATTAAGCGCAAACTTCAAATGAGCTGATGAATTAGCCAAATTTGGTATGGCAAATTAATGTGGTCACCAATTTTTTAATACTATTTTAGCATTCTACAATATCGACAGTATTTTAAGGAAAAGTATTATAAATGTTGCCTTTAATACCCACCAGATTAAATTCGAATCTAACTGAAATCTGACAAGTGATTGAATTCTGATATTAGATTAAATATGACGCAGAAAATAAGAAGCAATGCGATTTTTATAAAATAATGTAGGAGAGGATAAATTTTGCCGTAATCAGTAGATTTATTCCTTATTTAAAATTTCAATAGATTGCAAAATCGTACTGCCAAGAATATTTGACATAAAGGTATATAAAGAGAATCTGATATATGTAAATGCTCATCAAATTCTATTTTAAATTAAAGCTTTTACTTTAGTCCGAACAATAAATTCCCCCTTATACTTTTGAATAAATTCGAGGATTTCTCACATCATATAATTTCCTGACAAATTCGCCAAATTTCTTACCGTTATTCCGTTAAAAATTTCAAATTTTTACCAACCGATAGTTATCGTATATAAAATAAACTTAAACACCCTGTACATTTTATTTAAATATATAGACATAAAAAATCTATGATAAACTGATATCAATGGTATAGAGAAATCTATACGGCAGTAATATGCACAATTAACTTTATGGATATGAAAAATAACAACATATACATACTTATATGAGAGAGGGAGAGAGAGAGAGAGAGAGGAAATATATAATAATAAAAAGAAAAAATATATTCACAAAGCAAAAAAATCTTGGCTGAGTGAGCATTAAGGACAATGATGATCGGTGATGACTATATCACACTCTTGAGAATTTTATGAATTATGATTTCTCTCGCATATCCTGTATAAATTACAAATATATTTATATGTAAGTGTACAGTGTAAAATGAATGAATTTGTTATGTGTTGTCGAAGGTATTTATTTTAAAAATTATGACAAAAAAAAAATTTTTCTTTTCTCCTATAATTTCAGGAACAAAATAAAATAATAACAATAAGAATAATAGGAAGAAAAACCAGAAAAAGGACGAACTTGTTTTTTTTTCTCTTCTCTCATATTTTTCATTTATGCTTTTTTACGTCTCAGAATTTTTTTACTTGATGGTTTTTAAATGAGGCTTAACCTCTTTTAAAAAGGCACAAAAGAATTTTTTTTTTTTTCGTATATCTACACCTACAGATGAGAATTTTTTTTATGTAAGTAACAAATAAACATACGTATATAATACGTGCCCACACACACATATGTGAATATAAATTTAGATTTTTAAGGATATTTTTAAGATGGATATTTTGTTTAGGGCTAATTCAGTTATTATGATTTGTTAAGAAACGGAAATACAAAATCAAAATATGAAAATTAAAAAAATAAAATAAAAAACAACAACAAAACAAAGCAGTCCTGATGGAGAGAAAATTTGTTAAGCTGTAGAAGTTTTTTTTTCCTGTTTTCTTTTGTTTTTTTTTTGTTTTCTTTATTCCTGTTATACATTTTTTTGACAAATGTGCGTTACTTTTGAAAGATTTACATCATCATTTCTTGATGTTCTTTTTGCATGACTGGATTGAATTTAAAGTTTTTTTTTTATATCCTTTTTTTTATTATTTATAAATAATATACATAATATTCATTACATACACGTATATGTACATAATATAATAGGTACATTATACAATATTTATGAAATATGAAAACTGAACCCAAAATTTTTTGGTATTTTTGGTTAGAAAATTTGAAATTTATCAGAATTAGATTATTGTTTTTCATGTGTATTTAAAAAATCCTTTCAAATACATACATACAAACATACATGTATTATAATATGTTTAAATAATAGTGAATAAATTTTATTATTTACTCCGGAAATTTATATTGAAAAAAAATATTTTTAAAGGAAATATGAAACATTTTTAGGTAACCTTAAATTTATTCAATATTATTTTTACTCATATTTAAAATATTTTAATTGTAAAGGATATTAAAAAATTGTTATTAAAACAAATTTAGTTTTATCAATAATAATTAGAAATAAATTTGTTTGAAAATACTTATTACTTCACCATATTTAATTTCTTAATGATTTTGGGGTTAAGTATATTGAGTTAATTGCGTTCTACATAAAAATGATTTCGTCGTACTATAAAATTTTAAAATTTTTAGTAGAGTTTTATACCCAAGTTATGGCATACAGAAATATTGTATGTAATACTGGAACGAAAGCTTTATGTAGCCGCATACTTTATACCTTTAGGTTTCTTGTTAGTTCGATTGATTCTAGCGTAATTAGAAAATTATATGAATCGAAATTAAAGTGTTGCATATGAGAATTGTAACAAGAAAACTGTGCATATTTTAACCTGATTAGTAAATATTTAACAATTTCTTCAGAAATTAGTAATCGAAATGTATAGCCTGAAACTTGACAGTATATGAAAAGATGGATGACATAACCAAATGAACGAGTCAAGGCAGAAAAATTAAAAAATTTTACTTCCCGAACTAGACTCAAACCAGTGGTCTACCGTTTTCCAAGCGAACGCTCTATACTAATTAGACTACAATGGTGTGAAGAAATTGCCACCAAATTGTTATCTACATTGGTTTGTTCTGCCATTGTATATGAAGAAATTTCCATTTTTGTACTATAATAATAATAATAATATTGGCAGCACTATTGTACAAAAATATGTTGTAATCATTTCTACTGCAATTGCAAATTAAATTCAATGTTTGGATGTTGTAATTTTTGACTCTTCATAATGCAATAATATAAAAAAAAAATCTGAAAAATGCAATCACTACATACATTTGTTTTAGGACTAAAGTATTAAAATTCCTAAGTCTTTCTTACATTCAAAAAACTTAAGATGTTAAAGAAATTTCTTAAAAAATTTCTTAAATTTCTAAAGAAATTGTGTTTGTATGTATATGTGTATGTATATATATTTCTTAAATTGAGGACATAGTTATTTTAATCAAGGATACAGAAAAGTGCAACTATATACTTGGTGGTTTAATTGGTTTATAAATTATTTATAATTTAATGGAAAAATGTATTTGATTAGTTAAATCAGAGCAAAATCAGAGACCACAAAATTATTTCTAGCATGAAGTAGGCACCACAGGAACAAAAGAGGTTTATGATGCCAAAAAGAAAAAAATATCCTATGGAGTATCTATAGATAAATTATTTACTTTGAAATTGTGTGTCAGTTAAAATAATTTATGAGTTTTGAAGTTCCAAAATGGAAATGAATCCAATAAAATTTTTAATTTTTGTGAAAAAAAAATTAATTTATTTATTAAAATAAACAAAGAAAAATTATGCAGCTGTATAACGTAGACGTGAACAGGAACATTTTCTCCTCAAACTGAATTCGAAGCAATGCCGTACCGTTCTTATCATTGCCCGAACAGTACAGAGGTTTGAAAAAATTCTAAGCGATTTGTTGGTTTTTGCAATAAATCATCATTGAAATAGAAAAACTAAGCAGAATGTTTTGCGAATTCGACAAATTTCAAATTTGTTGGACTAAAAGCGATTTGACAAGTATGCGAATTTTGCCGAAAGCATAAAAAATTTTGTTGTAATAATGTAATTTAAAATATTTTCATTATAATCAAAATAATCACTATATTCAAAAGTACAATGCTGCCATTGCGTAATAGCATTAGCGAATAAGTCTAGTCACCATTATTTACGAATGGCAGCAAACTTGCAAGAACAAACAAATTCGATAAGCTATTGAGTTCGGCATTCAATATAAATCCTGGTAATTGGCATACAGAAATTTTTTTGGAAAAAAGGGCTTATTAGTTTCACTCTGTCCGTCCGTCCGTCCGTCCGTGGACACTTTTTTCGTTTACAAAACTTCTACACCCTTTAAGATAGAAAGCTGAAATTATACGTGCATAGATCTTTACTAGGAACTTATTTCCGTAGAACAAAATTTTTACCTATCTCCCCCCCTCTAGAAGTTATACCCCACCAAAACCTTAAAAATGGCCTTTTTTAACTATTTGTTGCAATGAAACCATAAGCATCTTTGAAATTTTGCAAACGCAGAAAGGCAGCGACTTGCTTTCCCTAGTGCGGTATACTATAGTTAAACTTTAGAAAAACAAAATGGCCGTTCAAATTTACCGTTATCTAAAGTCCTTTTTTTCCAAATTTTTTTGTCGTTTTTCTTCTAGACCCCAGCTTGTAGAAGGTTGAAATTTTAGGGGATTTTAGAGATTAATAAATACTTCATTTCGTTAGAAGAAATTTTTTTTCCATCTCCACCCCCTCTCAAGTTATCACCTCTTGAAATTTGTAAAATTTGAATTTTTGACACCTTACATTTCCGAAACCGCAAGCTTTTTCAAATTTCTATAAACGCAAAAAGGTAACGGTAAATTCCATGACATTAAAAAATATAATTATTTTTTTTAACTCTTTATATTAATTTTTGCTTTATTTCAAAGACTGCATAAATCGTTCATCCTAAATATATGCAATCCTAGAAATAGTTTTGTATATGAATGAAAATAATTTAGAAATAGTGTGATAGGTATAAATAAACCGTATTTAAAAGCAGAATTTTCACTTGTTGAAGGGAAAAGTGCTACAATACAAACCATTAGTTTGACCCAACTTTATTTTTTTCGATTAATTAATTTTGATATTAAATTAAAATTTATCCATCTCCGCACCTTTTATGCAACTAAAATTGAATTGAGTTTTGATTAACATACAAAATTTCAATACCATACTTATACTATAGTAATTAGTGCCTGATGAATGCAAATGCAATTATAACGTTATGATTGTATTTACTCAAATCTTATACATTTTATAAAAAAAAATCATTCAAAATAATATTAAAAAAAACAAAAACAAGAATAAAAAAAAGTTAAACTTACAATCATCGCATTTTCCTTCACGATTCGCAATACATTTTCCTTTTTTTGTTATATTCCAATTTTCCTGACATGTTAAACATATACCAGTTGATATACATGTTGCACAACCTCTTGGACATTCCATACATTCTTGACGTTTTTTATCACCATAATAACTATCTGGACATTTATTTAAACATTTTCCATCAAATGCAAAACGTCCACTACGACATGTAATACATTGTGATTCAGATGAACCATTACATGTTTCACAAGATGGATGACATGATGCACAACTAAAAAACACGAAAAAATAAAAGAAAAGTAAAAATATTTTGTTTTAATTTGTAAACCAAAGAAATGAAATATAAACAAAGACATATGACGTAATTTTATATTGCAAATAAACAAAACGTTGGAGAATACAAAAATTCCATACATTCTCATATACACACACGCACCTACTATACAATTCAAATATATTTTTAATAGCAGCGATTTTCATTCCCCATACACAGTATGTAAATTAAAACAATATTTTTCAACTTCAAAATCGAAATTGCCATTTCAGTTTTCACCGACCGCGTTGAGATTAATAAGGGAAGTATAACGATGATATTAAATTTCAATTATCGATGATCAAGTGAAATATATTGCGCCGTAACACAGAAAAATTTAAATAAGCTATTCTTGCAAAAGACCTGGGTATATTACGCTATGCGATCGCGTATATTAATTTGCATTTCGGATGAACCGATTTTGATGAAAAGTTTTACTTAAATTTACCCATAATTTGCAGAAAGTAGGTCAAATTTTTAAGTACATGTCAAATATCAGGAAATAAACCTTTACTACGGAGACGTTGTTACATTTTTTCCAAAAATATTCTACCGATTTCTTAGAAATTTAATCTTTTAATTTTGATTATTAAACTAACAGAGAAGCAAATTGTCGGGAATATCAGGCTCGAAAACCGAAAAGAACAGAATATTTTGAAATTTAATATTAGAGTCCTGTATGTCAATGAAAACTAACAATCTTTTCAAGTTGTTATTGATGTTTAATGGGTGTTCAGAAACTAAACCTCTACAGGACTTTTTTAATAGGACTTTTTGCTAAGCTATTGGGATTTATGTTATTCAGAAAATGTACACAGCAGTCGATTATGTACTGATCACATCAAATATTTTTTAACTTTTTCTTGTATGTTTAAATTGTTTGGTTACATTGGTAGAAAAACACGCATTTTTAACGAAAATGTAAACAAAAAATGTGTTTTTAAGAGGATTTTTGCAAAAAAAGAATTAGTAGAAGTGCTTGTGTTTATGAGTAGGCGGTTGCATTCAACAAAAAGAAAGATCCTGAAGGAAAATTGCGTTTATCCCAGAATTATCAATTTATAATCTAATTATGTAGGTAATTATCCACGTTTTTTTCATGTTTGCTGCGTAGGTATATACATACATTTAATTGGCTTAAAAAGTATGCTGATTAAGCACAAAATAAAATACAAAATAAAATCCTAAATACAAAACTCCAATTTTTTTGTTCAGTATTAAAAATAATTTGTTTTTTCTTATAGGATATAGGAGGAGATAAATGATTAAGAAAATAATTCGTTTGTTAGTTGAATATTAAAATAAAGAAATGGTTCTGGCACCAAATCTGCGTTGTTTCGAAATAAACGCAGAAATTATTGGAACTGAGTAAGCTAAATAAAGTGCTTGGTTCCGGTTCTTATGGTTGATTTCGGTTCATGTAAGCAGGATACTTTTTTTCGGCTTTGAGCTCTCCTTATGTTAGTCAAGTTGTTACACGAAACCGTTTTATAATGAACTCGTAGCTGTATTGTAACAGCATTATTGAGCTGATTTCACTGGATTCCAGAATCATCTTGATTAAAAATTGATGAATTTAGAGGTTTAGCTGGAAAATGTCCGAGTGGCGATTATTAGTCTTTTCACTGGCCTATGTTGTCCTAAATATATGCAAAAATTTACAAACTATTTCTGATCATTTGTGCAGATTTTATTATTGGGTTTGTTTGTGTAGATTTTATATTGGTGCAGGTGCAAATTCTTCATAAATATTATTGAATTTCAAAATATTCAAGACCCTATCATAACATAACCTAATTATTAAAATTTCAATAAATTTACAATGTCAAATTTTCATATTCAAAAATTTTGTAATATTGACGGGTTCGTGAGAACTTGTCATTAAAATATTCTTTTTTTTTTCTTTTTTCAATCAAGAATTGCCATCATTAGAGTTTATCGTTTTTCAAAGATCTTCAGAAAATTCAACGGAATCGTCAACGACAGATATTGTCCTTGTCTCTCATATAATAATTAAATCTCATTAAAAAAAGAAAATGTAGAAAAAAACATCTTTTGTTTCGGTATTTCTCTCTCCGCCCTATCACATGACATTTATCCTTACTCTATTTTTTTTTATACTTCCTTTCAAAGTTTTTAAAATAAAATTTATATAACGTCAGTCATTTGAAAGAATTTAATATGATTTTCTTTTTACTTTTTTCATATTTTCATTTAATGTGTGTGTGCACTGTGTGCATATGGACTAGTACCCAAAATCGTGTATTGGCAGAAAGGCAGAAAAAAAAAAGAAATTGTTTTTGTGCCGCGATTTTCTACAAATTGTAGATACAAATGTTGCTCATATAATGCACATATGCACGTACACATATATATCAATAATAACAGTAAAAAAAATAAAAAAATATAAAAATGAAATTTAACCACACAAAATTTTTAAAAATCATTTTCCTGTAAGCCAAACTGAACGGAAAAATATAACGAGAAAAAAATTAGAATATTAAAAAAAAAGTTATGGAAAATTAAAGGAAATGTGAAAATCATAGGAAAAAAAAACTCAATAAAAAGTTTTTCAAAAATAAAAAAAAAAACGAAAATAAAAACAAGATTTTTTTTTTTAATGTTACTTAAATTAAAGTACCACCACACAGAAATATGTGAAATAAAACGTTCAAAATATTTGAAGATAGGAAAAAAAAACAAACAAGCAAACGCGGAAATAAAAAAAAATATTGAAAACAACCATGAAAGCATTTTGACGGTTTCTCTTTTCTGCTTAATGCTTATTTCGGATAAAGATCATTTCTTCACTTTTTGAACTTAACACGATCTTTAAGTATTTCTGAGATTAATCTTTCATAACTCCTTAACGCATTTTAGCCTGTCTCCGTTTATTGAAAAATTTTATCGCTTCATATGTCATGAAATGCGACGCGGAGTTGTCGGAACAATAAAATTTTTGTTACAATTCAATTTCGGACAATTCCAATTGGATTCGGAATATGTCAAATGAAACTCTATAACTACGCGAAATTTGAATAATTATTTTTAAAAAAAACAATTACTTTACAGCTTTAATTAAGCTCTTAATAAATTGAGAAATATTAAAAACTAACATTATTTATTATGTGGCAATCAACATTTTATTATATAAGAAAATTTCATTGAAATCTACAAAATATTTTTTGGAGTAACTAAAATTTGTGATTTTAGAGTAGTTTCCCCAAAAATATGATCCTTGGCGCTTGAACGAAATAAAAATTAAATCGAGGAAATATTTAAAAAATAAAAAATCTAATGCAAAATCGTTCAAATCGGCGTATATGAAAATAATTTGAAAAACTTGGGTAAAATATAGAAAAAGAAAAATATAAAATATAAAAGAAATTTTATAAAAGAATGGCTTTTTTTTTTATATAATCTTTTCAAATTCACATTTTCAGACTATACAACACTAGGCTGTAGCTCCTATCTTTTGATTAGAAAAATGTGGAAATGAAATTTTCCGCTTAAATGCCGGTTTCTTGTTAAAATTATGCCTATACTAAATTGAATTTTCATTTTCTTTAATATAAAAAATATTTTTTCTTTTTTATGCAATTTTTGTCTGCCTGATGAAAATAATTAAGATCTACCAAGTACCCATTTTTTGGTTTAAAAAAAAATTTATATCTAGTCAGATGGGTTCACAATAATTGCCATTATTCATGACGTATGGCGAATTTTTTTAAAACAAATCAAAACTGTTACCATTGAATAACTATGGTTTAAAAGTAATTCCAGAGAATTGTTGTATCAGTTGAGGAATTCTTCAGTCTGAGTTGATAAAAGTAATAAAATTTTTAGAAAGTATTATTTCTTTCATTCATCTTTTCAATTAGTTTGAAATTCAATAATAATACTTCATAAGAACTTTCGACAGATATGCTTATATAAAGAAGATCTAAACGAGTGACGTCAGGCTTTCATTTTAATAACGAAAATAAAGCAAAATTTGTCTAGAGAATGGTACATTAAAAGCAGAATACTAATTGGATATATACGAATTGGATGTTTGTGTGCCATAAATACAGCATTATAATGCATATTACATTCATAAACTAATTTTAATATTTGCTTATGATCCCGGCAGTAATTCAGTAGATATTAACAAAATATTTTTGAAATTTGTTATTAATTGTCCAGTAAATGATAATTTAAGCTCTGCATTGTATCAATCAGAGTACTTTAATGTAATAAACGCGAGTTGATTATCGCCTGGCCAAAAGTCATCTATTATTAAACATTAAAAGTTTTTCTTTATTGGTATTCTTTACAAGATTTTAATTATAGGTACAGTGGAGATAACTTTGGTTTTATTTTATTCGACAATATCGACAGTATTAATTTTCTAAAAACGAGTTTTTTCCTGTGAGTTTGTTTCTGAATTAGAAAGTTGTTAAATTTATGGCCTGCTTGTTATGAGTCCCTTTAGTAGTGAAATAATTGTACCAATGCCTCTTGTATCAAACCAAATCATTGCTCGATTTTGGATTTAAAACAAAGAAATTATTGCTGAGTTTTTTTTTTAATCTGGATTTTAAAATCATTTTTCTATTACATCTTTAATTTGATTAATATTAGAAAACAACCATTTAATTTCTTTATAGCTCTTTCAGGTAAAATTTGTTTCTATAATTTGGTCAATCATTTTTATTCCATTATAATTTTTGAAAATAGTTTTAAAATTAATATTTAAAATTATTTGAACTGATCACAGACATCAACCTTAATGAATTTTTAAATTATTCAGGTTTGTGTCTTTGGTTTGCTCTCTATTAATAACCTAATAGAGAGCAAAATTTCAATAACAAAATCAGTTTTAGTGAAAAAGTAATATGTACATAATTTTGCCTGAGTATTAGCAGTGTCACAATACTTAAATGCGGAAGAATAAATGCGTTTTAATTTTAAGAACA